ACTCACCTGTAATATATTCCATCTTATGCCTTTGATATTTTCATGCCCATAGTGTCTCCAGTGTCAAGTGCACTTCTTCGTACTGGTCGATTTTTGCCTCTTCTCTAGGAACCATGTCTTGCAAGGGACCAAAGAAGACCGGTAATGAATGAATCAAGAACTGCCATCACTGCACTCAGGAATTCCCACAGGGGCCCGATATCCTTTCTCGATATAGGCAACAGAGAACCACCCATACTAATAGTGCAAGTTGCCATCTGAGTAGAAGTCCTCCCATGAAACCATATGGGGATGCTAAGTGGTTTGAGTGTCATCCTAACAGCATGAATAACTTGGCTTTGATCCCCACACTGGCCATTTGTTGGGGTCTCCATGACAAAACGGTCTAAGCATTGCCTCATATTCTGAATGTCATGGGTTTGTTTCACAGCTGCGTAGCTCAGTTTTTGAGATTCCTGGGGATCGTCGCTGGAGATACAGTGTTTGTGCTGTATGAGATGCTTTTAGCAGGCAGCTACCATTCTGCAGAGGGAAACTTGAATCCTACAGCGTAATACCCACTGCAATGGAATTATCCTCTTGACTTTTACCCTAGGCAGCCAGGGTAGACCCCCCCCCCCCCCAGGTAAGTAACCGGCCTTATTAGGGTAGTTTGTGTCAATGCATCTGCCTGAGAGGTAGAACCAACCTATTATGGGGAAAAAAGAATAAGACCCCCCCCCTTCCCCAAGCATGTAGTAAAAGGCGACTATTTAGGGGTGTTTGATGTCAGAATGCATCTGCCTGAGAGGTAAGAAACCAACAGTCTGCATATAAATAAGGGGATTGAACCCAGACCACAAGGAGTACGTCATCCGGTCTCCGCGAAATCCGGTTTAGCCAGTTCCGCTAGAGAGCCGGGCTAATGAAGATATGTCACAATAATGGTCTATCTTGGTTAAAACTCTGTATAATAATATAATGTAGACATCAAATAGTTGACTAATTCTAATGATAAAATATTAAATGACTGCAGCTACTGAATTGTTATCTTACTGTGACTGTATCGTTATTTGATAATTAAGTGCACACCAAAAACAAAAGTACATACCGGTTTCTAGCCGGTGAACGCAAAGATGAGAGTAACAAGTTCTTTGTAAGTTCTTCTTCTTCTTCTTCTTTCGTTCACTTAAAATATATTATCTGCAATGCTGTCTCTAGTATGAACTTCACTGTCTGTTGAAATTCACTCAGTAAAGTAGGGCTTGCACCCGTTTTTCTCTTGGCCAAAAGTTTTGCCTTGATATGGGGACAGTCTTGGAGAACGTGACCTGTTGTCTCGGGTATGTAAGTTTATTTCATCTCTGCAGCTTCTACATAATTTCTCAATAATCTGCTGGCAGCTTTTGAATCATCAGAATTAAAATAAAAAACAGAAGGCAGAGCATATAACAGACACACACATTCATAAAAGAAACATCTGTACAATTTTCTTAGCACAGACAGTAGTAAATCTTGAATAGTGTAACTAACCAAACAATACAATAGCAACAGATCAAAGGTATCAAGTAAAATGAAAACTATATATACATCTAGTAAAATCTTGTTAACACGAATTCCACTCTGAAAAAAGAGTTCGTCTAAAAACAATGATGCTAATCGTGGATCAAAAATAATATATCCCTGCTGGGAAATATATTTTTTAAATGTTAACTGAATGTTCTTCCTAAGCAAGGTCGTGGTTATGAGGCTTTACCAAGCACATATGGATATGTATACATAAGCACATATGTATATGTATACATAAGCACACATACACATATATTTTCTTTTGTACTTTTAACTTGTGTGGAACATATTTTATCTGATGCATAAAAATCCCTTTCAATGCAGATATAAGAAATAGAACTGCTGTATGTTAATGGAATCAGTTTTAATATACAACAGTGAATCATGGACAACTAGTTAACAAGCAACTCACACAACAAATCCTTGGAGGCCTTAGTGATGTGGTGTACAGAACAACTCTGAAATTCCTCGGAACAACCAAAACATGACATGCTAACTACCGATGTGAATAGCTAGAGATATCTCACTCACTTCAACAAGGGAACAAAGAGGTTTAATCACCTAGTAATAACTTGAATGAATTCAAGAAAGCCACCAGAAACAAAAACAGAACAGGACCACTGCTTGTGAAGGTTACTTTCTAACTATATACGATCGAGCTTCAAACAAAAGCCTTAAAATAGAGACAGAAATTACTTCTTCTTCATCGTTCATTCAAGTAACGTAATTGCGTTGTGCCTGTTTACAGCAAAGCTGTGATATTTGCACATTTAGGATATTCTGTTCCTTGACATTTGTTCACCGGGTTGGCCTTCCCGGAGAACACAGTGACGTCATAATGACAGTTTAAAGATGGCCACCCCACTTTTGACATGCAACAAAGAGAAGCAGCATTCTGTTACTCATTGTTTGATTAGCAAAGGTGTGAAACCTATAAAAATTCAGTGGTGAATGAAGATCTAGTATAGTGGTGCAAGCCTGTCAGTCCAACAAATGAAGTGTCTCAGCAGAGTAGGAAGTTTCAGAATGGTGTGAACTTCATTGACAGACTGATCGCAGAGTAGTGACGCCAGAGTTGACTGCAGCTGTCGACAGCCTCATACAGAAAAACTGCTGACTGACTGTGAGTGACAATGACAATTTCCATAAGGACCTTTGTTCTTCTTCTTTGCTCACCGGCTGTAAGCTCCTGAGGAATGTCCTGGCTGTTCGTCCATTTGGACTTTGGCTTTGTGCCAGGGTCTGAGTTTTGTGTGTGTATCAATTCCAACGGCTTATTTGTGTGTAGTTGCTTGTTCCTTGCCACTCGGGCAGCTGCCCTCTGATTTTGATGGAAGTCCCCAATTAGTCAACCCCTACGACATGCTTGTTGGGGAGGCAGTGGGTCTATTCTTGTTTCCCCCACAATGGCGCTGCAGAACCCACACGGGCAAGACCTTCATTCAATGGCATGTGTTAAAAAATTGCTATAGCACTTTTGATGTTTTAATTTGAAGCCCCAGTACAACTCACAAAAGGTAAAGGTGCATGTAGTAGTTTCTACCAGCAGCATGTGAAGTGTAGGCTTTCACATATCCTAGGCCAAGGCATAGATATGGTAGCAGTAGGATGTTCATTATAGAACTCAAAAAGACACATAATAAAAAATTTCTTAAGCAGTTCTATTTCTTCTTCTGTGCTCGCACTAATACTTACATATAACTGTCTATATATTTTTTTTTTTTAAATATCCAGAAACCATGAGTTGTAAACCCTTTAGCGCGGTGCTATGGAAATCGCAACCCTTTGGGTTTGATTCCATGACACTGTAAATCTGGGAGAAATGTGGCTTTTCTGCCTATCCCCGGGCGCGAACCCGGACCACAAGTTTGTCACGTTTAACCAACTACTCTAGCGAGCAGGGCAAAAAAGTCTCTAATAAAAGTAGCAGTGGAAGGTTTAAACGGTTCCCTTTAAATAGGGTTGAAGGAACCTGAATGATTTAAATTTCCTAACATTCTGCAGACTTTGCCAGTCAGTGTGATGAAATATGGGGCCACAGGAGCAATCCTGCAAGACAAACTTTGGGTCATCAGTGAAGACATCAAGTGCAGAGTTCCGTTTCTGACGCATACAGTGGAACAGAGGCATAGCAAATATTGATCACTGAAGAAGAATATGCTTATAATGACTATTTTAAGTTGTGCAGGAAGGGGATTTTTAATGTGCACAATTTGCACGGATGACTGACTCCTTCTTTTGGGCCCTTATCCGAGTGGGTAGCAATCAAATGTCACTACTTAAGTGATCATGGAGATGCCATCAGTGCTGCTCTCGGGTACTATGCCTGTAGCAATATGCAAACAATTATCTCATTTGTAAAACTTGATTACAATAGAAAGTTTTCCAAAACATCTTTATAGCTTTAATACTAAATGAAACATTTAGCAATACACTTACACAGTCACTTTCTCAAAAACAATAGCAACATAATATTTTTTTTAAAAATAACACATAGTTAAGCGAATTTTTTTTTAGCTTCCTAGTCAAATGAGGCAACACAGTTTTTTTCTACACATCCATTTATTCAAACAGTCATGTCATCATCTTCTGGAACATCATCACAACTCTCCAAATCCTGAATTTCTTACAACTCCACTTCAACAATAAAGCTTTCCTTAATCGAGCAACAGACCTTTCATTCTACCTGATGAATTTAACTAGGGCTTATTTTAGGGGTAGGCCTTATATTAAAATCATCCTGAACACTGTGCTAGGCCTAATTTTGGGGTGATTACATAACATGGCATTAGTAACTTTTGTGTGTGTGTGTGTCATAATGATTAAAATATTTATAATTGTGATATCAATATATCCTATGTCGTTAAACAATATACACTACAGTCAGAACAAAACCGTCACAGCTCGGACGTATTCAGTTCACGTTGAAATTCACAGCCTTATAATGAATATCTAAATACTCTCTGTGGGTTCTTGAGCCACTGGTGGGAGGGGGCAGAAAGACAGAAAACAGGCTTACTGCCCTGCAACAAGCATGTCCCCAAAGATGACTAATTTAAGGTTTTGCTGAAATTAGATGTGCAGGATCGAAAGATGCAGATTCTGCCCAAAACACATAACACAAAAGTACCAAACACACTTTTAGGAGTGAATGAAAAAGAAAAAGAAGATGATGAAGAATTACAAGCAAAAGAAAAAGAGGAAGAAAAAGAAAAATAGCTAAATTTGGTGGTCTTTTCAAACATTGGGGAAATCAGCTTCACCTTTTGAATCAGAATCTATACAGGCCCTATGCTGTTCATCTAATGACAGCAGAGCGTGGCTTGAACAATTGCTTTCAAAGCTGGAGTCTTCAGTGCTGTTCGCATTGGCATCTGCTGCTGTGGTCACCTGAAGTGGGCTGTAGCGCTTGACCTGTGGCAGGCTGTCGGACTCGTAAGTATCAGAGGCCACTATAGGAATACCTGGCAATTCTGACAGACTTCCAGATGCTGACATCGTTTCGTACAAATCCTGGTTGCTGGCTGTGGTTGCAGTGCCCAAATCATCTACAATTAATACAAGTGAACTAGTTTTACTGATAAATTAACAGTTTTATATTGTGTACATAATCTCCTAATGATACTACAACAAAGTAAACAAATATATACTAAATCAGCTGGGGGGGGGGGGGGGGGGGGGGGCGGCTGCGTGGTCTCAAGGCAGGGTGTCCGCTTCGACTGCTAGAGGTTCCGGGTTCAATCTCTGGTAAGGGCTGAGATTTTTTCATGTGTACTTGGACTTCTAGTAATTCCCCCTGGTCTCTGGGTAGTGAGATCGGACGCCCGTGTGCATTGCTGCGCATGTAAAAAATCCCTTGGCAGTAGGAAATCGAAAAGATTGGCCTAGGTCTGAAGAGAATGGCACTGCAAGGAGTTACAAGGAGATCTTGCCTACGCTCAACACTCAGGGGAAAGGGGAGATGGAATACAGACAGTTACTGGTACCATCGGAATTTAAACTCTTCACTTGCTGCTGAAGATGGGGACAGAGTGCTTATGGGGGTGTCCTGAGTGCTGTGATGTCGATTCTTAATTCAACATTGTTCCCCTCCAACTTTCCTCGTGCCCCGTACTTATGTTACTTTACTCAAAATGTTTTGAGTGAAAGATTATTCTGCCAAACAAGCTCAAATGATAAAATATTAAAGCATTATTTTCTCCAGATTTGTGTAGACAAAAAGATATGGCTGCAAACCGTTTGGTTCACTTATTTTCGTCATTTTATTAAATTGTTACTGTAGTTGACACCTGACGAAAGAAAGTGAAATATGTAAAGCACTAAACTGTGCAATCTGTTTTTTGTGTCAGTTTTCTTCTTCTTTTGCATTCGCAATTAAAGTGAGTGTTATGTTGAGGTCTACAGCGAGGCTGCGATATATGTTCCTTTCGGCCTAACGCATCTGGTTTCAGCAAACTCAGAATTAGTCACATATGACAACATGATTGTCAGAGGCAGTGGATGTATTCCCAACAAACAGAGCCCCAGAACCCATATGAAGAGTCTTTGCTGCTCCAATAAAAGTAAAGGTTCCCTTTATTCACCAGAGGCACATCGGGCTTATGAGGATAGGCTCATATTTTCACAGACCAATCAGCATTCCTTTAGTGATGTGGTCAATGTCACGCCTTTACTTACCAGGACTTACCTGGCTCCCATTTTAGGCTGGGTCAACCTGGGTGCAAAGGTCATGCTTTAAAACATTCGATATCAAGCAGTTCTGAACCCACGACCTTCGGATCTGCAAGCGAGCGTCTAGCCGATACACCGCGGCGTCCGTCAATGGCTAACAGCGCTACAACACTGCCTGACAACAGCCTTACCGCTATCCCTGTCATCGTAATCAGGCTCTGGTTCGAGCTGTCCTCCCTCTCATCATCGGCCATGTCGCCTGTTGACAGTCCGCAGGTCATGCGACCAAGATTGATGCTAGCCTTGAAATTTCTCTGTAGGTAACAACCGAAATATAACCGTCATTCATTATTTTCATATGCATTTATAATCTGAGGTGAGAAAATACTTTAACTGCCCTACGGGGTCCAATGAAAGGCAACACCTGTGAGCCAGATGGTATTCAGAATTCTTGTTCCCCGTGTGGGTTCCAGGGCCCAATTATAGGAAAAACAAGAATAGACCCACTGCCTACCCACAAGCATGTCGTAAGAGTCGACTAATTGGGAGCTTTCTTCGAAGTCAGAATGCAGCTGCCTCAGAGGCAAGGAACCAGCACTCTGCATACAAATGAGTCAGATCTGTAAAACGGATGCATGCGCAACACTCAGTTTCTAGAACAGGACTGCAGTCCAGAAGTGGACGAACAACCAGAACTTTTCACCGGAGTTTATAGCTGGTGAACGCGAAGAAGAAGGCAGTATAGAAGGCAGGATAGATCTATTCTGTTTTCCCTCAAAATGGGAGCCCGGAAACCACGCAAGAAAAACTGTAATCTTAAAAATTAATGCGAGACAAGAAATGTTCAACATCAGCAAAGAGATATGTCATCATCATCATGTGCCCTGCCAAGTGGCCTAGGCGCTCATGCGTCTCCGCAGATCACTATCCCTGGTTGCCTGGAACAGCTCTCTTGAGTATATCCCTCCATGCCATCATTTCAGTCCATCCAGCATCATCTCTTTTGGTCTGCCTTTACCCCTTTTTCCACTGTTCTTTTCAAATGTCACGATGTTCTTCAATGTCTCTTCTCATTATGTGGTCAAAGAACAGTGTTTGTCTCTTTCTCTGTAGAAATATGTTTCAGAATACAAAATCATTTCTCCTGCCAGTATTGTGCCAAAAGAGACATGTGTTGCACTAACAGTTCTAGGCTACAATTTGGCACTGTCAAATGATCACTTTTGTGCACCATAATTCTCTTCTCCCATAGTTAACTACTTTGGAAACTGTTTATTACCTATTACTAGACTTTTCTCTAAAATGATAAGAGACAATAGGGGAGATCCACTTAACTCATAATGTCATAATGTTAAGAATGTTTGGGGAAAAATGAGTGGTATCACGTATAGTCTGGGGTACCCAGGATTTTAAGCCCCAAAGGGAAGACAATAACTGTGTCCATAAAGGTCTTTTATTTGATTTCCTCCTTGTTATACGCCTAATGTCGGCTCTGTGGCTAAGTCGATGCGAACGCTTCAAAATGCTTGGATGCCGGGTTCGATCCCAGCTGCGGGCCATGCTCCTTGCGTTGGTTTCGACAACGTTATCAAGAAAGCCGACCGTTTAGAAAGCAATGGCAAACTACTAGACGTAAATTTGCCTAGAAAAACCACACAACAGCCAGGGGCTGTTAGGGTTGGTTCTGCAACGTCCTGTAAAGGATATGCAACTAACCTATACACCTAATATATTTTTTTTAAAATCATTACCACGTGCCAGCCAATAAGTGTGCATAGGCATGATTTGCCATCTCTGAATCATCAATCAGGTCTGTATTCATGTCCCATTCATTCACTTTACAAAGACACACATGTGAATTCTCACTCAAAATAGGTCCAAATGAAGTTCTACTTTTAACACAGCAGCACAGTTTTCATCCAATCTCAATGTTCAAATGCAATTTTCTCAAAAGATTTAGCACTGTTGTGTGCTAAACTCCCATTAGTAATAACAATGCCAGAGGTCAAAGTGTGTGAGGGTGCACAAGAATATTAATGATATGCAAGGTGATTGTAAGTACTTGGGTCGCATGAAATTTGTGGGGGGCAAGTTCTGCTCAGTAAATCTCAAGATAATGGGGGGGGGGGGGGGGGGGGGGGGGGGGGGGGGGGGGGCACAGGTGTGCCACACAGGTTGTGTGGAAAGTGAGAGTTGGTGGAGAACCCAGTGACAGTTTGATTCAGTTTTCTTTCAGTCAGTGGAAGCGTTTAAGACATGTGTGTGAATTGTTCTAGGCATTTGCAGCTCATGGATGTATCTCAATTTATTTAGCAGGAGCTCATGGGCTGTCCAGCTGAACTGGTTGGTGTACTTCAATTCTGAATGCTGACAGTGAGGGCAGACATGGCAGATGGGATGGTGAGTCCCTGCATTTGTTTGGCCATTTTTCAGGCAGGCTTGTTCAGCTGTTTTGCTGTGGCAAGATGTACATCCAGGGGCGCACAGGAGTGCAAAGAGGTACATAGCCATTTATTCTGCTTAATGCAGGGAACTGGACTCATGTCAATTCCAGGGTGTCTGTGTCACACCTGAACAACAGAGGATGGTAGAGTCCCAAAGGACTCCTCTATGGTAAATTACAGATGGGTAGAAGATGTCTAGGCTGACCACTACTGTGATATAAAGATGTGTGCAGGCAGGTCATGTATGATACATATACTTAGATGGAATAAAATGCCATGGACTATGTCACGTTGGAGGGAGCATTCGGGAAGGGAATGAGAATGAAGGAAGAAGTGACAGCAGAAAGAATGAGAGCTGACAGCCTGAGAAGAAAAATACACAATGATGACAACAACGGTCCTTAAATCCCATGCTAAAATTGTGGACGATTTTTCCTGACACAAGCGGGTCTTGCTACTCAGACTCGCCATCGCCACAGGCGAGTGATTTCAAGGCCTCCTCATTGCACAGTATAAAACTACTGTTTGAAAAGATGGAATGGTGCCAACAACAACAGCAGGTGTAGCATTTGGATACTGTCAAGTGTGTATACTTGGTAGAGATTAGAAGACAGACAGTATTTATTAACTGAAGACCAGTCCATCATAGTAATGTGTGCGCCCACAATAAACCAGACTGACTACACTAGCACAGATGACTTTTGGTGGTATATTCCAGTTCCGCTGGACAGTTGTGGTCCTGGCTTAGTTATGCTGTCACTGTTATCAGTTTCTACTCTTCCATAGGAGCCCAGAAGTCGTCATTGTCTAGGGACTCTTGTGTGGGTGACTGAAATGTAATCATAGCCTATTTACTTTGCCTTGTAAGCAGTCTTCCCCATGTCTTGCATATCTTCTTCTTAAAGTGCATGCGTGTGGCACTGGTAGTCACGTCTATCCACAACCTTCTGTCTCATGTACTTTCAATCAACTCTGACACAGACGACGACCATGCCATGTTGTCAGACTGTCCAGCATCTTTTCTCTCGATCTCTCTATGCCTCTCCTACCCTCCGACTTTCCTAATGTCCCATGTAGTCACTTCATAGTTAGAGAATATTTGTGTATGTGTATTGTATTGTTCTTTATGTGCTGATGAAGGCTAATCGCCGCAGCGTCCTTTGTTTGTTTATTGTGATCGATTTTGTAAAGCTAATATAAACTGTTTTTTCTTACCAACTTTTTCTCTTCCCTATAATTTCCTAATGTCACAATGTACTTCAGTTTTCTCCTCCTCGTCACATGACCAAAGAATGTAGATTGTCTTTTTTTGATGTGGGCAGTCAGTTCTCTCCGGGAGTGAACTTCTTTCAAGACATCCTCATTACTCTTTTTATCTTACATATAACAAGCACTTAAGTGGCTTTAGCGCAGGACCAACGACATGTGTTTACCGACTGGCATTGTCTCTAGCACCTACCTCATGCAGTCTCCTATTTAGGGATGCTGCTGGTATCAGTTCTGTCTCTCTCACTGTTGATATCTTTGTTTCCGTTGTCATGGTTCCATCGGAGCCACACCTGAAAAGGTCACACAACAAGGCAAGACATTTCAAGAACTGGAACTCTCCTTTTTCGTTATCCTTAAAAGGTGGTTGACACATGTGTTTTAGTTTACAGCTAGCTTGCAACATATGTGCCTTTCAGCCCAACACATTTAAGCAAACCTTTTCACAGCATACTTGTTAGCGGTGATGGCGCAACAAATTTTTTTTAAGAAACATTTTTTAAACGGACGGGGAGATTTTGAACTCCTGTTTAGGCGAATAAACAATGTTTCAGTTATCAGATTAAACCCTCTCACCCCAGGAATATTAAAAGCATAAAATGGAATACATCCCCTGGGCCACACACACACACAAAAACATAGGAAGGGTAGACTCTAACGTGACCTCTATCACTGAGGCTTATGTTGACATTTAAACAAAATCTATTTGGTTCAAAACATCACCCGCTATTTGTTAATTAAGGTACAGATATCCTGACCTCCTAAACCTTTGTGCAAGTGGGAAAACAGCTAGAACCATTAACTATGCATCTTGTAAACAGGTCACCATAGACAAGCCAGAAAAGTAACACTAACCAGAAACTGGACCAAACCAGTAGTGTCAGTTCTGCAGCTTCTCAGGATGAAAGGGTTAATTTGTATATTACTTCAACTGTGTTTAACAAGAGTATGATTAGCAATAAATCTCTTCAACACCACCTTCGTCTTTTCTGCCCCCCCTCCCCCCCCAATGGAGCAAAGGTCCTCAACAATTTCCTTCCCATCTTGTTGTTTCAATTACACTATGTTGCTATTGTGGGCATCATCATTTTTATAACATGGTGGACTGTGCGGATTATGGAAACTCACTGTTTCATTACACATGTATAAGAAATGAGGCCTATTCAATCATAATCAGTTGAAAATATGGGGGTGACTGCAGTAAAAATTTTCAAATTTTTAAAAACGCTGCTCACATCACCCCTTAGAGATCTGTATACTCTCCTCGTAGTTACTTTTGTGTAGTTCACTTCATGTTTGACAAGGGCTGCCCGGCCGAAACGTTTTTTTGTGTTGTTTTATGCGCGTTTATCTGCTTCCCCATTTGGTTAAGCTTTTTAGTCAAATTTCACTGGAATTCGCATAATAAGTTAAACTAAATGTTCTCTATGTTTTAAAGAAATCTTTACAATTTTGTTACATCATTCAAATGTAAACAATGTGTGTGTGCTTATATGTGCATGTGCGTGTGTGTATGTGTCACAAAAGACAAGAAAGGGGATGAACAAATTTGAGCTAATGCAGGAATGTATGCAAGTAAAAGAAAACAAAAAGAAAGTCGTATGTGCACTTCAACAGAATATCAGATGATAAAGAGGGTTGTAGGTTCATGTCTGTTCCGGATCTGTTCTTGATAGCGATAATGGTGTCCAACAGTAGTTAGAGAATGAATGATTCAACCAACTGAGAATCAACATCACTGCACTAGGGACGTCCCCCCCCCCCCCCCCACATTTTCTGCCTCACATTCTCCAGCAGCCATCAAAGACTTTCCAGCTGACAGCACCCATACAAACGCAGTGAACTCTTTCAGTACCACACAACTGACCATAATTTTCTTAAGAGTTTCCAAAGACAATATGATGTTCTTACTGCCCTTTATCAGACTGGTGATATAACTCTTACTATGTGAACCATGGTGGTCATGGAGAGTCCTGTTGATGAAGGGTACAGTTTCTGAAAAATGATGCAGAGGTAGACCACTCAGATGGTGGATACAAGACATTGAAGAAGCACTGGCTATGAAAGCACATAGTGCTGGAGAACTGGCCAAAGAAAAGGAGACTTTCAGGCGTGCTGTGATGGGAGTGATGTTCTGTAAACGACCTGTTGATTGATGATGATCTGAACCATTACTTAAACTCCTCCTGTCCTACGGTGTCACTTTATAAACTTATGCCAACCTAAGTACTTTTTTGAGTCGAACTGCTTGGGATACAAGGAGTTAAAGTGACAACTATTTAGTACCAAAAGAGATTAAAGTTCACCTATACCTTCCTAGCAACAGTGTCATCCAGATCTGCTGCTAACTCCCTGCTGAGTGGTGGCAGAAGCTAAACAATCAGCACAGAAGAAATGTTGTACATACAACTACAGATCAACAACTCTCTTTATCTTCACCTTCTTCTCTTCTGTCCCTCATTACTCAATGGAGCAAAGGACCCCAACCAACTCCCACCATGTCATCCCATATTTTGTCACCTTATTCCTTGTCCTCCTAACTTGCTCACCTCAATATCTAATCCCCACCTACATTCATTTTTTTGGACTTATTCAGTTTTTAAGCATATGGGTTCCATTGTGAGCACATTCTAATTTCACCATTATAAGATTTTTCTGAATATATGTCTTATTCAGTGTCAGCATATTTTTATTACCCCTTGATTCATTGGAATTTGTTGATTTCACCCTCAAAGCTCCAAATGAACTCTTTCAGTCTTAAGGAACGCATAACACATTCATAGGTTCCTACCAGAAGCCGATTGTATATCTATTTTTATGTTATGTTATCCTTAAAACATTTCTTTTGTCCACCTTAAAAGCATTTTCGGCATTTTTGTAGTTCACCAGAGACAATTCTTTTTGGTAGTCAGTGGTTAGCCTCTCTTTACTACCTTTTCTGATGCTAAACCCCTTGTGACTCAAAGAAGCTGTTATATTTTTAATTCCCTCCATTCTGTGCAGGTAGCAGTGAATGAACGTTTGTGGTCTGTTAGTAATGGTTTTAGTCTCTATCCATGTTTCTGATCCATATAGCAGTTCTGATTTCTGGATTCAAGTTAAATATTCTAAGTTCTCTTCATGTTTATAATGAAAATGTAGCAAACACAAAGCATACCTAACTGTCACAACTGTAGACTTCAGTGGTGTGGGTGCAACCACGTCTTTCACAATATGCCTGGGCACAATCTCATCTGGGGTGGCATCAGAGTTAGCCTCCGTGGATGTAACATCTGTGGTGTCTACCACCTAAGAGCAGAAGTATATCTCATGGTTATTCAATGCAACTTTATACAGACTCTTTCTTTTTATTCTTAGAGTTCACTGGCTGTAAACTGCGAGGTTGGGCAATCCTATTTGCTTGTCCACTTCTAGACTTTGGTAATGTTCCAGAACTTGAATTTTGCATACACATCTGTTTTACAGATCTGACATATTTGCACACAGACTTGATTCCTTGCCTCTCGAGAGATGTACTTTGGCTTTGAAGGAAACATCCTTAATTTTTGGCCTCTTACAACATGTTCGTAAGGGAGCAGTGGGTCTATATTTTGTTCACCCCAAAATAGGGAACCCACATGGGGAATATATAATAATGACAACACAACTATAATGGCTAAATATTAATTTTGCGATACATGTATGCATTTTTTCTCACCAATAAATTATTTTAAGTAAAGTTTGAAAAACCAACAACAACAAAAAACAACATAACACTGTACTGGCCTTGGAGGTGTAGGTTTAAATCTCCACTGAGGCAGATGTTTAAAACTGACATTTGCTCCGAAGCCCACCCAGCCTAACATTGGGGGGGGGGGGGGGGGGGGGTGCTCTCTACTGCCTGTGTGTATCATTTTAAGGAAGGTAAAGAGAACTGAGAGACTACATAGCACAGCAGAAACGTTGGGACTAAGAATAAATACAAGCAAAACTAAGATCATAACAAACAGTCCAAACCAACAACCAGTGACCATAAATAACCAAACACTTGAAAATGTAGAACAGTTCACATATCTTGGCAGTGTAGTGTCCTTACTGGGAGGGACAGAGGAAGACATACAGTCATGCCTGAACAAAGCTAAAGCTGTTTTTGGAAGGATGAGGCAAATCTGGAAATCCAACAGTTATTGCAGTGGAATGAAACTCCGACTCTACAAGAGCATCATTTTGCCAGTTCTTCCTTATGGAGCAGAATGCTGGAGAGTGACCAATATCCACCTTCCACCACACATGTCTGTGTAGAACTATTAAAATTTTCTGGCCAGATACAATCTCAAACGCTAAACCAAACCAAGAAACTAGACAGTATGATAACCAAGAGAAAATGGAAATGGTTTGGTCATGTTATGAGAATGAATCCTGATATACCTGCCAAAACAGCTATCACGTGGACACCAGAGGTAAAGAAAAAGAAGAGGCACTCAAAAACAACATGGAGACGATGATGGAAAGTGAACTGGGTGCTGTATCTCTGACATTGAAATTTGCATTGAAGATTGCACGGGACAGGAAGGTATGGAAAGTCCTCTCTGAAGCCTCATGTGCCACTTGGCATAAAGAGAACTGATAATAATGATGATGGAACTGACGGAGCTGCCATGGCTTAGCAGCTAGGCGCTTGCCTGTGCATCAGAAGGTCCTGGGTTCGGGTCCTGATGGAGCCAGACTTTTTTTTTAAAAACGACCATGGCTCCCAGCTTTGAGTAGGTACAAGGTGCAGTCCCGGGAAGTAAAGGTTGCTGACGTGATGCTGACATCACCCATCAAGTGCTGATTAGTCTTAAAATATAGGTCTAGGTCTAGCCCTATATGCCTACAGGCATGGAAAAGGTCCTTTACTTTACTACAGAAAACTGATGGCAGAGGGGATTCAGGGCTGCATGGCTTGTACAGTCGCCAGTCTGTGCAGGCTAGGATTGTTATTTTTGCCTCCGATAGAAAAAAAATCTATAACTTTACAGGGGATTTAAACCTGGGTCTCTCGAATGAGAGCCCAGGACTCTTGTTCATTTGGCCAACCACTAAAATGGGTACCGGTAAAGTACTGTGGGGAGCAAAGGCAAGCATGAAACTGACCATCTTATGTGCCTTTTGGTCTATAAAAATATGAGTTTAACACCATATGCTATGAGAGCCGTGGCAATGCGGTGGCTCGATGCTCCACTCCTGATCCAAAAGTCTTAGGTTCAGATACAGGGATATATTTTTTAATAACTACCTTAACTTGCAGGTCAACTATGCCAAAAACAGATAATATGAAATGTCATGGGAAGTAAAGACAGCTGGCAACATGTTGACAAAAGCATCATCTTGTGAGTGACAAATTGTCTTTAAAAATATGCCAAGCACCATATGCTGGATGTGCATCTGGTCTGATTACGGCAATTTATTTTACTATATGCCTCAAGCATGGAAAAAAACTGTTTCATAGTTATTCTCTCCGGGGCTCATTGTAGGGAAACAAGAACAGACCCACTGCCTCCCCATCAAGCATGAAATTAGAGTCGACTAATTTGTGGTTTCCTTTAAAGTCGGAGTGCATCTGCCTGATAGGCAAGGAACCAACAGTCTGCATACAAAAAGTCAGATCTGCAAAATGGATGTGCATGTAACACTCAGGCTTTGGAACCAGTCTAAAGACTAGAGGTGGATGAACAACAAGAACTTTCTGCCGAAGTTTACAGCTGGTGAAGGCAAAGAAGATTGTCTGTCCTTTAAAGGACTTTGCAGACAAACCCCAGCATACAACTTTTTGTGATTTCACTAGGAAAATTTATGTTCAGCAATTTGCCATTGCTTTCTAAACAGTCAGCCCTCAATACCACTGTCAAAACCAACACTATGCAGTTTGCTGCCATATCACCTGCAGTTGGGATCAAACCTGGCACCTCTGAATTACACAGCATGTTTGCAACACTCAAGTCACAGATCTCATAGTTATAGGGGATCAATAAATTAGCAAGACAAGAAAGCAAACCTTTTCTTTATCCTTCTTTTTTTCCAGAGTTCCTTTGTTGCTTTCCTTGTCTGTGTCCATTTCTTTCTGGTACTCAATGGGACCTGATACTGTAACCCTACAATAAGGGAAGCACAACACGTTAGATAAACAAATAAAACAGAGAAAAAAAAAAAGAGAGAGAAAATCAATAAAACAATTATTACAACAACGGTTTCACACATTTAGTAAAGTAGCTTTTTGTGTGCATGATAGATTTATCTGTCTGCAACATTCTATGGCTGGTATATAGTAGGTATTTTTTCTTCTTCCTCTGCAATCATTCTTTAAAAAAAAGGGGATGTTGGCGTGTAGTTTAAAAAGGTAAAGGTAAAATCGGGACATGTGAACCAGAGTCATTGCACATGGTTATAAACCATAAGTGCTCTGCCACCAGTACGGACAGCTGATAAGAAAGTATCTGCCTGTGTCGCCGTCTGCATGTAAGTCCGTAGCTACAGCAATGTTCTTCCATTTACCCCAGAGTGCTAACTCTTACCTAGAGGCTGGGTGAACTCCAGGAAACGCCCAGTTTTGAACACCCGCCGTGGGCTGCAGTGGGTCGAAGCTGGATTTGAGAGCGAGTCTCCTATCCACTGCGCTAACACGGCCCCATGTGTAGTTTGTGATTAACAGCAAGGCTGCAATACCTTTCGGCCCAACATCAGATTACAGCAAACCCTTAATCAGTTGCCTTTTACAACATGTTCGTTAAAGTCAGTCGCTTTATTCCTTTTTCCCTAAAAATGGGATCTCAGAATCAGCACTGGAGTTATAGCGGTTATGATGGGTTACAGATGTGTGACGCACTGTTGTGTTAGTTTTCTCCATCTGGTCATTTATAATATGTATACAATTTTTCCCGTTTTCACTACAATACACATTTTAATCCGTTTTTATTAGACCCTATTGTTATTATACTAACTCTTTGAGGACATATCGCAAATATATCGGCAGGACAATCCATCCCGTTTGGCCGCACCTCCAATTAATCAGCACAGACACTCTAATATTGTTTCGTCTGGTAGCAAAGTGAATTATTTTGAACACTTTTTGAAAAACTATAATTAGTGAAAGGAAGTATTATTGTTTTCCAAGCGTGATAGGGCAACAGGTTTAATTTTCGCTTTGTTTTAAATTAAATCAGTTTGGTGAAATTTGTTTGCGTGATAGTTCAGATCAAATGGTAAGGGTCTAGAACTGTCAATATTGCAGTTGTCGTTAATGAGTATCAGCAAGACAGTGACAATAGTGCAAGTGCAAAACCTATTGTTGATAACATGGGTTAGGATGAAGTTGAACAAAATGTTTAAATTGAATTGTCCCTGTTTAAATTGAATTGTCCCTATTTTGATCTGCTGTGATAGGATTTTGGTTGTTATAAAAACTGACATGTCACACAATAATGGCCATTAAATCTAAAGTATTTTTTGTAGAATGACCGCGCTGACGTGGGAAAAACCTGACTGACTGGGGTGAAAGACATTTATTGGAAAACGGGATGGAATGACAGCTGTATTGCGTCTGACGCAACTTTAGTTTTTGTTTTACTACATTTAGATGTTTAATGTTAGTGTCAGTAGATTATTGGTTTTGACCGACTGGGTTGTAGAATCTTTTAGCAGCTTTGTAGTTCAGTGATTGTTTCTTTGCGTGTATAGAGAATATAACCGTTTAGCTGATGGATAGGTAATAGCCAAGAACATGACACATGGACTTAAACAATACATCTAAAGTTACCACATACTTGGTTTCCTTCTGTCCTTTCTTCTCCAGACAAAACACAGTGAGAGGGCTTGATATTTGAAGATGAACGCCTGTTGACATGATCCAGACATTAAAATAAGTTTAAACAAAACGTAAACCACATTTTTCACACGAATGACACACTATGCAATAGACCAAGTTTACTGCACCAGGTTTTATCCCATATGGCTCAGTCTCTCAGTGCACAATTGCTAGGTGCCTGCTAAGACCAATACACAATGCTTTAAACTCGGTAGTCCCAGCAACCATACCCATGGATCTTCGTAAAAAATAAACTCCTGAATTGAACAACACCCCCATGAATGAACCCACAACCTACAAAGTGCAAAGCAATTGGCCACAGAGGTCCCCACCTGGTAATATAGTACTAGACCTAAAATTAAAGGTCAGATTACCCATCATACCGGACATACTTACTTCCCATTTTAAGCAAGTCGATCTGGGAACAAGGGTCATTTTTATAAGAAATTAATCTTTATGGAGTTTTGAATCAAAGACATTTCTGCTGGCAGGAAATGTCTAGCCACTGCACTTTATAGCTCACCAGCGTTGAAGTAATTCTCTCTTAAATTAGGACACACATTCTAAATCTATTAGATTAGGTTATGCTGGTCAAGGAAGTAATTCTCTCTTAAATTAGGACATACATTCTAAATCTATTAGATTAGGTTATGCTGGTCAAGAAGTCACCCTCACTAACAAGCTGGCCATAAAAAACAAAACAAAAGACTAGCTGGGGAAGTTTCCTTCGAAGTTGAAGCGCATCTGCCTGGAAGGTAAGAAACCAACAATATGCATGTAAATAGACAAGATCTGTAAAACAGACGTGCGCACAAGACAATTTCTGGATCAAGACCAACTCCAAAAGTACATGAACAATTAGAACTTTCCGCTGGAGTTTACGATCCGAGAATGCTAATAATAATAATAAGATCACACAATGAACAAATTCAGACAGCACACTAAACTAATTCAGACAGCACATTGAAGAAATTCAGACCGCACATTGAACAAAGTCAGAGCTCAAATTAAACAAATTCAGACAGCATACTGAACAAATTCAGACTGCACACTGAACAAATTTAGACCGCTCATTTATACTATTCAGTACATATCTTTACTCATTCAGCAACAGGCAACCAATGTGTATGCTGGTTTCAAGAATTAATCCAGTGAACTGTGACCATAAAGCTTAACAAAATGGGGAAGTAGAACAACGTGCACAAAACACACACAAAATGTTTTGGCCGGGGCCTTCTTGACACAAACTAACTACACAACAATAACAAAGGGGAGAGTACCCCAACCACCAGCGGGTCACATGAGAAACTATAGAAAAAGTGATGTCAAATTAATAAAATAAAATAAAATAAAATAAAGCAAGACTCAAAAACTTGCCAGTTGACATAATATACTTTTCTTAACTTCTTGTGCTCCATCCACTTATTACATTAACCCGCTCTGTCCCAATTCTTAGCTCATCCATTCTGTCCCATAAATACTATTATTTTTAACTCTTCAGAACCAAACTCCTGCGTAAGTAATTTCTTAGAACAGAATGAGCTGAATAATAAGAGTGCACACATTTTTCTTGTGTCAGAAGCTAAATTAGAAAAAAAATATTCTATGTCACATCTATGGAAGCTTAGACAGTTTCAAGGTAACAATCTGAATTTGGTTCTTTTATTTTTTATTCATCCCAAACATGGGGAACCCCAGATTTCCCTGGAAAAGTCTAATATTATAGGGGGGTGTCAAGGCCAGAGTTAGGATTAGTCTGTTCATTTCAAACCGTAACACCCCTATGATTTTTGACTTTTTGTAGAATTCCGGGATTTTCTGTGTTTGGGGTGAATAAAAAATTAAGAACCTTGAATTGTCACTGAAACAGACTTCACTGCATTCCAGACAGTTTGTTCAGATTAGTTTAGACGGAAAATTGCACAATTTTATTGTTTTTCTAGCGAAATTCTTAAAATATTTTCCATACACACTAAGTTATTTTGCCATTTTGATTCAAAACTAATATTTCTGATAGGGTATTCTGTATTCTGAGAAAACATTTTCTTACACAGAAAGTCCAAACTGCCAATTACTGCCTTTGTTATACCACTTTTGCTGTGTAGGCAGGGGGGTCTTGTGAGGATTTACGGCCGCATGACTAGAGCAGTCAGTCGCCTCAACTGTGCAGGTGAGGATTTTATTTTGCCCCCGACAGAAAAAAAAAATCCCCAGCCTTACCGAGAATTCAAACCCGGATCTCCTGCACGAGAGACCAGCATTCTAACCGTTTGGCAAGCCACTCCTCTACACAGAAAGTACCACTGTATACTATTTCTAACCATTATACAGATTCTTGAACTCCAGACTGAAAGTCTTGGGTTCAAGTACATTTGGTGCTTTATTAATATCTTACCCCAAACAGGGAAAATCCACAGGTCACGGGACAGTCTAATATTTCAGGGGTAGTAGATAGGCTGCATGAAGTGGTGGGACCTAGGCTGCACTCTCTCGTGGGACGTAGGTGGGTTGGGGTAAGTTCTAGGTGTTTTGGGGTCATTGAAAGCATCAGAAAGCCAGGAAACCCAGTCTTACCACCCTCTAAAACAGTGGACTGTCCTGTGACGCCATCTGGGGTAGAATGTTAATAAAGAACCGTACAATTTAAGGCAGATTTTTATGAACTAATCCGCAGCTCTCAGGCTAACCCAGACTCTTGTTGTGAGTTATGATGTCACATTGTGGGAAGGAAGGGTGTGCTTACATGTGTAGAAGAACAGACCCACTGTCTCCCCCCCCTCCCAAATAAGCATGTCGTAAGAGCTACTAATCAGGGGTGTTTCCTTTAAAGTTAGAGCGTATCTGCCTGACAAAAAAAAAAGTGAAGTTAAAAAGATGAGGAGGACATGCAATGATTTTACACGAGTTGGTTGAAGGGCCTAAGCTCCACAAGAGGCAGAAAAAAGAAGAAGAATGAATGAATGCATATTTCAATGTAAAATCAAACTAACTTTTTACTTCATAACATACACAGAAAGTAAATACAACAGTAAAGCATGAAAAAAAAACATGCAACATACCTTCACTACTTATTGGCGGAACAACTTGTCCATTCAGAGCTTCAATCAGAGATATTGCCTCATATCCTTGTGGAACACCTTCTTGATTCACTGGATTTTCTTCTGTGTCAGACTAGAAACACACAGTTATGTTAAATCCTTGATTCAGTCAAGGAAAATGATGTTCAAAATGAAAAGCAAAATGTTAGCCTGAAAATATAAACACTTATGCAAAAGTGGTTAGCAAGAAGTCGGTGTTGTATCTGAGAATAGCCATTGTTGCCCATCAAGCAGTGGATCGCAGACTGTTCCTCCTCACGCTTAACGACAGAAGGGGAATTGATGATGAGTGTTGTATTGTGCTATATGGAGGCATGGGCAATTACAGCCTATGGTGAAAGCAAATGTAACTAACAAGACCTGACTGCATTTAGGAACGTCTTCAACAATTAGAACACGGAATTTCAGGACCACAGCTGCTTTTGCATGTCTGCAGTAATTTTTTCTTTATTCTTATTCCTTTCCCCGTGCAACATGAACCATAGCGTCACATCCCCACGAATACACCTCAATACCTGTATCCTTCATGTCCCACTTGCACACGGATGTAGTCCAGAAATGACCCCATAACCGCCAGTGTGCGAAATAAAAATTATCCACTGACAGAGACCCAGAGAATGAACATTAACTCTTTCAGTACTAAACAATGCACAATACTCTTTACTGTTCTTCCAAAGATAAAATAATTGCTGTTTTCTTTCACACTGAGTCATTTTATTAACCCTATGTACATGGAACAACAGGTTAACCATTTCTGACCTACAGGACCTCCATTCTTCTTCTTCACGTTCACCAGCTGTAAACTCTGGCAGAAAGTTCTGGTTGTTTATCCACTTCTGGACTGCAGTCCTGTTTCAGAACCTGAGAGTTGCGTGTACATCCATTTTTACATCTGACTCATTTGTATGCAGACTGGTTCCTTGGCTCTCAGGCAGATGCACTCCGACTTTGAATGAAGCTTCCAATTAGTCAACTCCTACAACATGCTTGTGGGTAAGCAGTGCGTCTATTCTTGCTTTCGCTATAACAGGGCCTCAGAACCCACACAGGGAGGACCTCATTTTAAACTCATTTATATGCAAGAATGTTCGGTTTTTAAGCTCATCTCCCTGCGGGGTTTAAAATAACAATTTCTTGTGACTGAAAAAGTTAATGTGTGTTTTATAGTCTTCTTTCAGAAGGACAAATGACCATCTTTGTGCATAGATGAGAAGATGTTACTATTATAAAAGCACAACAATTGCAATTCAAGTCAGAGATCGCCTACCTGTGGAGAATTAGTTGTATTTGGCACCACCTTCTTCCTCATGGCCCTGATCTGTAAAAGGGCCCGAAACTTGACTCGGCATATGGGGCACATGCTGGCCTGATAGCGCAGGGAGTCTGCACAGCTGCTGCACAAGCACAGATGTCGACAGGGTAAGATGAGTGTATCCCGCATGTCAGACATGCAAATCACACACTCTGCCCCACTGTCCTCCACTTCGTCATCTGGATCAACATCCTAGAAATCAAGTGTCAAAAAAATACTGAACTTTTATTTCATCTGTCTGATATCTATATACTTTTCAGAACATAACACTGATTCCCAAACTGTGTGGCCGCGGCGTCCCAGGGAGCCACTACCTCTTCACAGGGGGAGCCACAAAAATATTTGAAGGTACACAAGTTTTTTTGTTTGCCTGAGAATCTTTTATATAGCATTTCAGTTCAAAAACCCCTATCTAATTCCTTAATGACTGCAAGATAGTCCATGACTCACATCCTTTTGTTGCTATAGGGAGGAGAGGTGCACTTAAAACTGTGACCTTGATTCCTTGCTGGTGCTTATTAACCACAAACTTTTAATGCTGTTTAATCTTTAGATACATATTATCATCAGATTACCTTGCCAGCTGGTGTAGGCGTTCATGTATCTCCTCATATCTCGGTCTTTGGTGTACTGGATCAATTCCACTGATGATATTCCTCCATGCCACTGTCTTAAGCTATCCACCACATTTCTCTTGAAATGCCTCTGCCCCTTTTCTCATCACATGACCAAAGAACTTTGTCTTCTTCTCACTGTTGTATGTAATAGATACATATTTGCCTATCCTTTACAGATGTTGCAGAACCAACGCCAGTATTTTTCAACTGTTTTGGTTTTTCTAAGCAAATTTACATCAAGTGGCTTGCCATTGCTTTCTGGACAGTCGGCTTCTTGATACCAATGTTGAAACCAACGCAAGGCCCGCAGCTGGGATCGAACCCGACATGCCAGCATTATGAAGCACGTTCGCAACGCCTAAGCTACAGACACGGACACAGATACGTATACAACATCCTTATAACAACGCAACTTGACAGTACCTTTCTTTTTATAACCTTTAACAATAACCACGAGGAGGTAAGACTGAGATGTATTAAGCCTGACAACAAAACCAGGGATCCATGTGTTGCATACCTTCATACGTTCCATGCTCTTGTTCTCAATGCCATAAATCTCCTGCAGCAAGTAACACAGGCCGTCGACCACCTGCTTTTGCTTCAGTGGTTTCACAGTGTAGCTGCCTTCTTGACTCTTCTCTATCACAGCATATGTAATATGTGCATGGCCTGCATGTTCTATACAAACATGAAACAGAAGTTATGAGAGTTAAACAACAACACATTACATTAGGACTGGCAGCTGATTCTTCCATTCCATTCTATCCTGTGCTATTGCCTCAGTATCATGGAAGGAAGGGAGTCACCATGGCGTAGCGGCTAGACGCTCGCATGAGGATTGGAAGGTTGTGGGTTTGCTCCCTGGTGGAGCCGGACATTTTTTTTTTTCAAAAATGACCTTGACTTCCCAGGTCGACCCAGCTTTGAGTGGGTACCAGGTAAAGTTCTAAGAAGTAAAGGCGGCCGGCATGATGATGACCACATTCCCCCATCTTGTGCTGATTAGTCTATAAAAATATAGGTCTAGTCCTATACACCTAAAGGCGTGGAAAAGGGACCTTTAATTTTACTATCATGGAAGGAATCTGGTTCAACACCTTTAACATCTCGACATATATTTTAGGTTTATTTTGTGCATTCTGGTTTCCTAAATCCACAAAATAATATAACAGTGTCAGGACAAAAGATAAAATAAATTGGAGATAATACATTCTATCTGCTACTTACCTAAAGCAGAGATACCAGTAAATTATTGTTTCTACAATCTAAATGAGGGATAGCATTAAAATGTTGTTTCTACTCATTACCTTAATGAAATAACAATGAATTATTGTTTCTATTATCTATCTAAATCAGGGAAAACATTAAATTATTGTTCCTATTAAAAACCTAACTCATAAATTAACATTCATTTATTGCTTCTACTACCTAAATAAAAGGCAACAATAAATTATTAGAACCAAGAAGGATTGCCTGGCATTTTTCACTTTATCTCGTCAGGTACATGCTACAGTAACAATAATTACAATGAAGCAAATAAAGGAATCCTTCGAACTGAAACACAAAATCAACTATATCTAAAAAAAATACTGTCTGATTCACCAGGGTAAACGCAAGGTGAAGTGCATGTTCTTTTTGTCTGCATAATTCTGGACTAAACCAGTTTATTGCGGTCGATTCCACAAATCTCAATAATTTACGCTTAGCTGAAGTGTAAATAAATTATTAGTTCTTTTATGTAAATGAGAGATTACATTTCATTACATTATAATTATTCACGGGGGTCACACAGAAACTGCTGGCCAAATGAAATTTGTGTAAATCGGAGAACACAAATTCGGATGCACGAGGAGGGCATTAGAAGGTTATATAATGCCTTAGAAAGGGCTGGTAGTCAGTCTCGTTTAGGCCTAGGAAATGAATACATGAAGTATGATAGAGTGTCTGCGTGATCCAGAAAGTGTGTTCAAGTCTGATATGTCTGCACAGTGTTTTTCCAACGCCTACCTGGCCATCAGTAGCGGCTAACGGAAGTGCTGTAGCCAGCTGAGAATGTTTGTGTTTTGATCGGATAGACTCGTCGTTATTCATTCAATTGTTGGATGGAATGTTTGTTATAAGGTAAAGTTGACATGTTCGATAAGTGAGGATAGATATGAGTGATTGTGTTGTCCAATAACATTTACTGGCTGCAATACCAGAGAATGAACAAATAAACAACTGTTGTAATTTGGATCGTTCGCCAGCGTCCATGTTTTCTCGTGTGTTGTCAGTCAGTGAATGGAAGCGTGCATTGACTAGAGCCAGAAGAAGACAATAGAGAGTCAGTGCATGAATGGGAGCTACGTCCAAGCAAAAGAGGATGGGAAATTTGTGTCGGACAGTGAATTCTTAAACATAGGAACTGAGATTGGCTATCAGCCCGACATCAGGTAGTACCAGTTCGAAAGCGTAAGATTGAAGGCGAAGTAGCATGAGTCACTCGATATATCTTTTAAGTCGTGGGGAATGTATTCTATTTAAGGCTTTACCCTTTTCATATTTATCGTTTTTTTTTTTGTTATTTCTTTACATATTCCCCCCCCCGAATTAAAAAAAAAAAAATTGAAAATGGAGAAAAAATAAATTTATTTATGAATTTATTGGTGGCCTGTGTAAACTTTGATGTTTCACGGTTTTTCTGAAAATCCAATGGAGTCATGACCTATTTTTTTGGGGGGTGTTCCCGGGGTTAGAGGAATAATTAGGTGAGCATATGGCAGGATCAGATAAGACATGACTATCAAATGCCCATTGAAGTACAGATTTGTTGCACATCCTTTACAATACTGAAAACCAACTGCAGCAATTACTGGCTGTTGTGTGGGTTTTATTACACAATTCAGATGAGGAGCGGAAGCTCGCTGAGCTGTTAAGAATTCTTGGTTCTCATTTAAGAGACCCATGTTTGAATCATGAGTAAGATTATGGATTCTGTTCTGTAGGGGCACAAATAACATCATAAAATGCACAGTTTGTGGTGACTGAACTAGCCTTGCGGCCCCAAATCTTCAGATTCAAGACCACATGTCCTACACCACAATAAAAAGTGGTACATACAGTCAGTAAAGACAAGCATTTTTCTTTCAGTTACCTATCTATTAGGTTCCAATAACATTATACTGCTGTCATTAATCTCAGACATCAATACTTTAACTTCACATTTACAAATGTAGAACTGTACAAAAACAAACATACCTTCCTCTTCTACAGTACAGTGTATAGCAATGGGATAAACATCTTTGTCAAAGCTGTACTGCCACTGTGACAAAATATTGAATAAATATACTTGATTAAAGACAATAACAATCTTAAGTGGGGCATTTAAAGAAAACAAATCTGGTAGAGTACAGCATTTTTTTTTTTTAACTATCAAATTTTTTTTTTTTATGCTGTTAGTTCAAAAACAATTTTATATATATACATAAATATATATGTATATATAAAATTGGCAAAACAACACTACTTTTTTTTAAATATGCTGTTAGCTTATCAATTTGGCACACAAATGACTTCAATTCTTCCTCAATTTTAACAAGTGATAGGGAATATAGAGCTCCCATGTGCACTTCCTGTATGACATGAGACTGATTCTAGTTAATCAATCAGTGTTTTATGTCCCGGCAAATATAAATTTTCATCAAGAGTTGAAGACAACATTTTAAAAACATTTAGCATAGATCAAACACAAATGCTAAAGAACACTGATAAATATTATACAAGCTATTAGTCTTTTTTAATCTGATTAAATCCTAGCATAGAGGTACCAGGAAATTTTGTGGGAAGTATAGGTGGCCAGTGTGATTACTGACCCCTAAAAAGTACTGACTGGTGTCTTAAAATTTGGGGCTCCCGCTATACTGGGAGAAACAGCTGACCATATGGTTAGAAAGCTGGGCTCTCAAGTTGGGAGAGCCCGGTTTCGAATTCTGGGCAAGGTCATGAATTTGTTTTGTCGAAGGCACACAAAAAAATCCTAACCGGCACAATCTGTGGCGTCAGTATTAGCCATGCAGCCCTCCTCTTATTCATTCACCAGCTGTGAATTCCGGCAGAGGGTCCCGGTAGTTCGTCCATTTGGCTTTTACCTGGACCTGGTTTTGCATGTACATCCATTTTACTGGCTTATTTGTTTGCCGTTCCCTGCCTGACCGGCTGATGTACTCCGACTTTGAGGGATATGCAGCCCTTAATCTTCAGGCTCAAAGAGCACCCCCCCCCCTCCCCACCGAAAGTTGGTCAATGCTGGCAGAAATGGTAGTTTTTAATGGCAGCACCATACTAGCAGCCGCAGTGGCGCTGTAGGTAGAAGCTTGCCTGACTTTTTACAAATAAATTTTATAAGTGACATTGGCTCCCACATCTTCTTCTTATAATCCACTCCGCGAGGCATTGATCATCAAGTCTTTCCACTACTTGCTGTCTTGTGTGTTTTCAATCATTTCTGACAGTCATGATCTTCTATGCCATGATGTCAAACTGTCTAGCATTTTCTCTCTCTTGGTCGCCCTCTATATTTTTCCCCTTCAACTTTCCCACTGTCACGATGTACCCCAGTTTTTCCTTCTCCGGATATGACCCAAATGTAGATTGTCGACCAAAGAATGCAGACCGTCTCCATCCGATGTGGGTATTCAGTTCTCTTTGTGAGTCAGTTTCTTTCATGATATCTTCATTACTATTTTTATCTGCTCCTCTCATCATTCGTCTATAAAAACCGCATCTCTGCCACTAACAAATAATATGTCAGTGAATTTTTGAGTGAAAGTGCTCAAACTGCCCACAAATTTCCTTTGGGTTCAACCAATCAATTGACTTTTCTTTTGCATCTGGTCATGAAGTTTTTAGGTGTACAGGCTTTGGCAATAACTAATTAAAAACTGGTGATCAGATAAATGCTTTTACTTTTTTTTTTTAAACATGAAAGTGCCATTGGAAAACTACGCATTTTTACTTTTTGATCAGTATATTTCGCTGAGTGGGTGAGTTATATAAGTCAATATGCCATAAACGGTATCCATCTGTTTTGCTTCAGCTCCTGTCACATCCTATTCAGTAGACACATAATATATGCTTACCTCTTCATCTGGGAATTTACTGGGGTCTACTGTATGGGATGGCTGGCTGAAATTCTGGCCGGCTCCTCGTTTATAGTGGTAGGTTTCAGAGCTCATGCTAGTGTCTCTTGGATGGTATCTAGTGACAAAATATTCTCAAAATGCATTTCAAACAATTATTTTTTTTAAATATACATTAGGCAGGTAGCTAGGCTTGTTAGTTAGTCAATTGAACAAATATACTATATACTGAACCATTCAGTCCATAAGTGCTCTCATCCCCTCTAGAAAATATTTAGTTAAAGTACCATAAAAACATAGAATGTTATTCTTTGCCCCGTTTCATTTATAAAAACTCATTTGTTATTCACAGTTTAAATTTCTTGCCCCAGGAACACTAAAAAAAAAAAAATGAGTCCGGACCCAGCTGGAGAATTCCAGAAAAAAAATATGTAAGTAACCAAAATGTTACAAACGTCACTAATAAATTTGTTTACATTTATTTATCTAATTTTAATTTTTTTTTTTAAATATATAAAGATATCTGAAGGGGGTAATCAATAAAAATAAACAGGGTGAAGCACTAAATAGAATATCTTCCCTGCAGCCTTAAAAAAAATAAAAAAAATAACACACACATAGCATCAGGTTACCAGTGCAGTGACCCTGTGACCTCTAACAATGAAGCCTATGGGAATATTTGACGTTAACTTGGCTCTAGAAGAGTTATTTGGCTCAAAGACACACACCCCCCCTCCCCCGCCAAATCCCACATGCTATTTCTTAGTTTATGTATTCATATCCTGACCTGAACAATTGTGTAGATGCAAAAATAGCCAACAGGATTAAGAATGCGTCTCATAATTAGGTCCCTAAAGACAAGTCAAAAAGGTGACATTAATAGGGAACTGCTAAAAATGGATCATAAACCCGTAGGAATTTCTGCATAATAATGTTTTTAAAAAATATTTCACACTGGTAAAACTGTTTAAAAATTTATTTATCCACGCCAACATTTTTTTTTTAACATTTGGTTTTAAAATATATAAAGATATAAAGATATACAAAGGAAGCAAATCAATAAACAAGCACAGAGTCAGGCATTAGATGGAATGCATTCCCTAGGACCCAAAAGAAAATGTACCCCATGACCTCTATCACTTAGGCTTATGGGCATATTTTTAAGTCAATCTGGCTTTAAAAAGCTATTGGATCCAAAAGCAAACCCCCCTAAATGCTATATTTAGTTAATATACTCACAATGGGAGCCCTAAACACCATGCAGGCACACAGAGAATCAATAGTAGATAACTATGTTATATTAGAACAGCTCACTGCAGACATGGTGATTTATCGGAAATTATGGGACTTTGTCACAAATGGAAGTGAATAGATTTAGCCTCCTTGGGGCAACAGGGTTAAGCAATACCAATCTGAACTGACAGTCTCGAAGGACATATTCCCCTATTAGTTTATCTTCTTTGCTTGAACGCATCTGTCAAATCCAAGTCTCATTTTGCTGAACATACAGTGCTGAAGTCCTGAGTCTGATTTGCAACTAAAGATCACTATCTGATCACCTTTTGTTTATGAAAAACAGCAACAGCTAAAATATACCAAGGTTTGTTCTGTAAAAGATATCCAACTAATTTTGTTCATTATAATGGGTGTTTAAGAGGGGAAATATCACAGCCTCATGCAAACATATAAGAGTAATTCTGAATTGCAATAATGAGCAGAGGTACTTACACAACATGGCCACCAGCAAATTCTTCAGCTGCAAAGTAGTAAATCTTGATCGCACAGCGCACATCCGAGTCGAAAATGAACTCAACATTGTAAGGGTTTCCACTTACATCAACACCACCATCCAAGGCCACCTTGTTTGCGGAAGAGGCTCTGCAGAAACAAACAAAACACCAATAAATATTAGTGGCATGAAGGGCTATAACTTTTTACATTCATTAAGACATTGCAATTCTTTTTTCAGGTAATCATGTACAGGCTAGATATTGTGAGGGCCTTTAGGGAGGGAGTGAACAGTGCAGAGGCACAGATAGATCATTACAATCTGAGGAAAATGGCACCATGAGGAGTTATCAGGGGATCTGGCTGACGCTCAACACTCAAGGGAAAGGCAAGACAGATATACAGTCAGACAGTTACTGGTGCCATCAGAATTGGAACTCTTCGCTTGCTGCTGAAGACGGTGACACTGCACTTATGGGAGTGTCCTGAGCGCTATGATGTTGATTCTTAATTCAACATTCAGGTAATCGGGTAAACACTTCAGGTGACAACAGTGAAACAAAACTATTTAATGGTGATAAGCAACCTGAAGCATTTTTTGCATACTCCAGCATACACTGAGAGGCAAATAGCTTAAGCACTTAGCCCCAGAGATTCTTGATCAGTAGTGACATCTGCTTACAGTTGAATATGCATAAATAACTCCATAGTGAGATAAACTTGGCGATCTCAGTTCACCCTGAAGCAAAATGTTATTGCAATACTTTCTAGGCCAGTGGTTTTCAAAGTTTTTAAGGTCGTTTTCCCCTCCAATCTGTGACAAACACTCCGGCTTCTCCCCCCCCCCCCCCCAACCAAAAAAAAAAAAAAACAGAGGAAAAAATGAAAAATCCCAAACACTCTTAACAAGAACTTGGAGAAAAACATCTACCTAAATGAGGTGTGTGTGTGTGTGTGTGGGGGGGGGGGGGTGGAAGGGTCGTCTGTGCACTTTTTTCAATGCACTGTAAAATTTAGTGTTTATTTCTGCTAGGTTGCTCCTGATGATGTCGCTCCATCTCTTGTGTGGTCTTCCCCTTGCTCTGTGTTCATTATATTTCCTCAGCGTGGCTCTCTTTAGCAGTTGGTACCAGGGCATTCTCGTTAAGCGGTCAAACCATGTCATTTGTTGTTCTATTCTTCTAATTTCTTCATTCCAGATTTTATCTCTTCTTGTCACCGGCAGATCTCCTAAGACATCTAATCTCTGTTGTTACTATCTTCTGCTCATTATTTGTAGTAAGGGTCCGAGTTTGGCACAGGTAGCACAATGCTGGCCAAAAAATTGTACTTTTGCGATTTGCTTTGGTTGACAGAGGTATCTTTCTATGCGTCAGAAGCGGTGTTCTGTCATATAACTTGATTTGCTTTCCCACATCGTATGTTGATATCTCTATCAATTCTTCCATATGAGGTGAAAAAGCACCCTAGATATCGAAATTCACTCGTCTGTTTTATTTATCTTTTTTACTTTATTTGATATGGTTTTTTCTTGTCTGCTATTACTATTGCATCTGTCTTATTAATGCTTATCCTCATATTATATTTCTCACACGCAGTATTGACTGCAAATAACAACTCTGAGATATTCTTTTCTTCGCTCTCTGCTTCTTTGCATATACTGTCGATGAATGTTATAAAAAAGCAGAGGAGACAGCACTCCTGAATTTACTTCAAAAGGTTGCAATGTATCTACGTTTGTTAGTATGCAACTTTTACTTGATGTATATAAGATCTTACACACTTCAGTTAGGTGTTTGCTGACTCCATACCTTCTTAAACAATTTCACAGCATTTCCTATCTACTCTGTCAAATGCTTTTTCCTGGTCTATAAATGCAACTTTGCATTCCTCATTGTACTCTATAGCTCTTTCTGTCAACTGTTTTAACATAAATATTGCATCTGTACAGTTTCTGTTACGTCTGAAACCCATCTGGGCTTCCTAAAGTTGTTCTTCTACTAACGATCTTAATCTTCTTTCAATTAATTTGGCATACATTTTCACTGTGTGGTTTAATAGTGATACTCCTCTGTAATTAGTGCACTCTTTCTTACTCCCCTTTATTTGTCCATATCAGTATAATTATTGCTGTTTGCCAGTCATCTGGTGTTTCTTGTTCTAGCCAGGCAGTCGGGAAAATTCACCTGAGCCATTTTACTTTTGTTTCTCCAGCTGCATTGATGGCTTCTGCAGAGAGATGCTCTATATAAATCAAATTGACAAATAACATAAAATAGAAACAATCACCAACTGGCAATTCAGCGTCCAAAAAACAATGCGATAGCTGACACTGTTTTGTCTTCATGATATCTGCAATTTTTGGGTCAGATGTTGAGCAAGGCACAATGGGGATCACTCTCCAAATCAAGTTGGCAGACATGTTTTGTTCGACTGTTATATTTTAATTATAATTAAAAGTTTTTAAACAAATGTTTCTACACCATTTTATTACAAGCATAAATCCACTCAATTTCAAAACTAAATGATTGCGCCCTCCCGCCCCTCCCCCAGTTGAAAACACAAACCTTTTTAAAGAATATTCAACAGAAAGAATATCAGGTACTAGCTTACTATCCATATTGTTCATTTTAAGATCATCTTCACTGCATGCCGGGCATACTCATAAGTGCTCAGAAAGATTTTCTTCTAAGCATGTCATTGGTGCACTTATACTGATCAATCCTGTTCGGTACTGGTTGCTATAGAGACTGTGAGCTCTTTCATGATTTTCAAGTTGCGCCGCTCCAACTGGTACATCTAGACTTATTTCAAAAAGAAATAACCTCATATTCAAAGTCTGTAACTTGTGCTGTCTCTTGTTTAATACCCATAAGTAAAGTAAAGGACCCTTACAGGGTGAGACTTATATTTTATAGACCAATCGGCACTAAGTGGATGATGTGTTCAATACCCATATGACAATTTTTTTGGGGGGGATCCAGAAACTATGAGCTGTAAACCCTTTTGCTTGGTACTATGGATATCGCAACCCTTCGGCCTTGATTCAATGACAGATAATACCGTAAATCTGGGAAATATGCGGCTTTTTTGCCTACCCTCCAAGCATAAACCCGGTCCACAAGGAGTCTGTCACTGGGTCGCTCCACAGCTGGTTTAACCAACTTAGCTAGAGTGCCGGGTGCCATATGACACATAAAAACAAATTAATTAAACTTATGCTGCAAAACGGAAACATTACACTTTAAATTTAAAAACCAGAAAGCACCACATACTTGACAAGCCTTAGTGAGTCTTTGCGGATGTATACCAGACTTTTTAAAGTTTTTGTAGGGTCATTTCCAGTTGGAACAGGATAGGGAAACTGAAAGAAAAAATAATAAATATAGCTTAAATAAACAGCTCACTTTCAGAATGTGCCAATATGCAAAAAATTAAAGATAAGCATTTTTGTTTCAGGTGCTGGTAACACAGTCATGAACAGATAAACATGCCTGACTTTACAGCTGCTTATTTATTTTAATTGTTAAATTATTTCTCCTGATATATACCTTCTCCTATGCTTACGACCTATGCGCGACTCTTGGGCTAACTTTTACAAAATGGATGCTGTTGAAATCTTCAGGGGGTGAGGAAGGGAGCCTACCAACCTCACCTTACTATGCCATTGCTAAACATCTCACTATACCATAGTTATACACCTCACTATGCCATTGCTATACATCTCACTATGTCATGGTTATACACCTCAGTATGCCATGGCTATACATCTCACCAAGCCATGGTTATACACCTCACTATGCCATTGCTATACATCTCACCAAGCCATGGCTATACACCTCACTATGCCATGGCTATACATCTCACCAAGCGATGGTTAAACACCTCACTATGCCATTGCTATACATCTCACCAAGCCATGGCTATACACCTCACTATGCCATTGCTATACATCTCACCAAGCCATGGCTATACACCTCACTATGCCATGGCTATACATCTCACCAAGCGATGGTTATACACCTCACTATACCATGGCTATACATCTCTTTAAAGTCAGAGTGCTTCCGCCTGAGAGACAAATGCATTGATTCTCTCTCAATGTATTTTTGCATACTACTGAAGATAGTTTTTGCCATTCCTTTTCTCTTTTTTATTTATGTTTCACTTCTGCCATTATTTATATTGCCTGTCCAAGACAGAAAAAACTTGTTACTTATTCTATCCTTTCTCTATTAGCTGTGATGTTCACATTTAGATTACAACATGTGTTTATATGCAAATAATCTATTTCAGGATTTTTTATAATAAAATATGCCTGAAAATTAAGGCTGACCTTTATAAAATTCATGAACAAAGATGACATTGTTACTTACTGGAACTGGCTTACTTCCAAGAAAATTTAATTCTTCACTATCTCCAAACAAGTATTCGCCAGGCTGTGGTGATTCAAAGCGCTCTCCTCCCATGATAAAATGTGATGCAAAGTAACTACCTGGAAAAAAAAAAAAATTCAAAATAGTATTGGCATGGAGTCACTAAGTGAAAAGAGAAGGCCATTCAAAGAAATAAATGAAAGCAGGTGATATCTGCAGCGATCAACATCAAAGCTGAGAATGCTGAAAAAGAATCCACTGCAAGTTAACTCATATCTAATGTGCTGTCAGTCAGGTTGTCTGAGCTATGAAGAGGTTGCAAAGACTTTTCTCCTGACCCAGTACTAAAGCTCTATCTTCATAGGAAATGTGTTGAAGAACTTCCCCTGGATCAAGTGGATAGTGCCATGGAACAGAGTATCCACACCTGCAGGACTGGTTCAACTGGGAGTAGGTGAGCAGAGTCTGGACAACATTCAACATTTTATGGAAAAGATATCATCATCATAAAACAGGAGGATCTTTGCAGAACACTGCTCTCATCACGATGTGCCTGAAAGAAACTCAGTCTCTCGCCAACTCTCCTGCCTCATGTACTTTCATATTTGAGTTCCAGAAAATGGTTGCCACCAATTTTGAGTGGTTCCATACTTTAATTTTATAAGAAAAAACATCTCGTCAGGATTTGAGATTTGATAGGGAAGTCCCCAGAATGTCTTATAGTATGGGAGGAGGTGTAGGGTTATGCTTAGTAGTAGTTAATATTTATTCAACACTAGCCCTAACCCCCAAAATCCCTATAATATGGCACTGTCAAGGGAAACTCCTAGGGATTCACAGGAATTCCCTATGAAAACTCAAAGGCAATGAGATGTGGTCATATAAAATTAAAGTACCAGTGGTTCACACGCAAAAAGTGTGGTCATTGTTGACATTTCTCATTATATTTTCTGCGTATATATTGAATAGGTATGGTGAGATAATGCCCCCCTGCCTCACTCCCATTTGCACCTGGAACCAATCCAATGTTTTACCAGCTGCTTTGATGTTCATGATATAAATTTTCAATTAAAGCACCAAATGCACTGCAAACTCCACACTTCTCATAATATTCCACAATTTCTGATGTTGGACACAAATCCAATGCCTTGTTATAATCAATGAAAGAAGTATTCAGATTTACGTTGTAATGGAAAAGATACAGGTGGCTTTTAATCCGTCAGGGTGTCACTGACATAGTCAGCATCATTATTTCGTCTTACTTCTTTCTCTAACCCCACAGTAATAATATAATAATAATTACCAATTATCTCTTTTTGCTTTTTTGTTTTTGTTTTTTGTGTGTGTTTTGTTTCATATATGGAGTTTTTCATCATTTTCGATTATTTACAAATACTTTGGGGGAATCATTAGATGAACATGTCAATTGTCATAATTCCACTGTATCACTGTATCGCTCTTGGGTTGTTGCTTTCACATGAATATTTCAAAATATTTTTCTAGTCTAACTCTTAGTTGTTTTTTCCTCTTCTCTCTTCAAATTTATTTTTAATTATTTTTTTTTTTTTTAGTATTTGAAGTATTACTGTGTATAAAACTGTATTACTATTTGCCGTCCTAAAAAAAAAACACTTTAACAACTTAATTAATCACTTAAGTGGATTTTTATGATAATATTATAGTTTACTCAATTACTTACCTGTTTTAGGAGGGTATCTATAAGCACTTTGAGAAGAAGCATCACCACTCTCTTCGCCCCCACCTCGGTTCCTGCCTAAGGTGGCACCCATTTTCAACGTGCAAGAATTTAATCCCTGGAAATATACACAACCTCAGTGATCCTCCATTTTCCGTTTGTTCTCCAGCAGACGGGGTGTCCGGAAATTACGACATTTATTTTGATTGCTTACGTCATGTCAAAAATTACTGTATTTTAAATATTTATTCAGCGCCACAAATTATTGGAGTTTTGTGAAGTTTTCCAGTAAGGTGTAAGAATTTAGTTATTCGTTATACTAGATAATTAATTCTTGTTGAGTTAAATCTGTTTGTTGACATGCCGGAAGAAAGCACTTCCTATCTGACGTTCTCCCACTGAACATATCTGTTTAAACCAATAAACATCGCCCTTACAACCGTCATTTTGTTTTGTCTCCATTGATTGGCTGCTTTGCTGACTACCTTGATGTGTTTACAGTCTGGCGAAAGTGACATTTTTGAAGAAGTTTAAATAGATTTAGCAGATAATGGATAATTTGAAACAACAGGTTATGATAAACCAGTTTGTTTTGGCAGCAGGGTGTCATGCAGAACAAGCAAAACAGTTTTTACAGGCAGCAGGATGGCATTTTGAGGTATGTTTTGGTCTCGTCTGATTTCGACTTTCAGAATTGTAAACATGGCCGAATATTTATTTATTAAGCGGAGCGTGTTTGTGTGTATTTATCTGGAGTAATGATAATGTAGAGATACCCTTTACTTTCTATATGCACACATTTATTTTGTGTTTTTTTACTTAACTTATGTAGTTTTTGCATTCTGTTTTGTGTTTTTACTTACTTCATGTAGTTTTTGCATTCTCTTCATTTTTTTTGTAAATATATAAATATATGTATATGATATTTAAAAATAAAAAGTAACGATTTGTAATTATTTTGTTAAATATTTATATTAATATTATATGACGGTTTATTATTTTATTGATATTAATTTATGATTTCGTGCAACCTCATTATACATCAAGTTTTTTTTATCAGCTGAATCAAACATTAACAATTATTATTTAGTAACGTTGACCAGATATGAAAGGAATCCAAACAATTATAAATTTCAGGCAGCGCTGAGTATGTTTTTTCAAGAACCATCAATTCCCACACTCAAACATTGTCGAACAAGTAATCGAAGCCATACAAATGGACATTATCCAGTAAGTGATTTATGAAATATTATTTCTTCATCAGGTGTTAGATAAAATGACGGTGACCAGAGGAGACGCTCATTGGAGAGAAAACAAACATATAATCAGACTACAGTGGGCACCATTACTGATCTAAAAATTAGATCCGAGCATTATTGGAAAGGCCCTGAGTGATGTCATGTCGTTTCTGACTACTTTATCAGAGGTCTAGTTGCGAAAGCCAATGGAAAATCTTTATTGCAAGACAGCCTAGCATATGAGACCACAACATCTAGCATGAGAATGGAGGTAGAGGCGGTAACTGCATCTCTCTGGTGGCTAGAGAACAAGATGCATACACATGTTGTAATTGTAACAGACTCTGAAAGCATGCTGAGAAAGGTGAAGACAGGGATGCTTCGAGCATCATAAGTAGTGAGCATACTTTGGATCTTTTCTCCAAGCCATGCCGGCATGGGGGATAATGAACAGGCAGACAGATTGGCTGGATCTGCACCACTGGGTGGTGAATTGATACATGACTAGGCAGATGTGGTCAAGACCCTTTGGGAACAAGCAGCGGAATCAGTAGAGAAACAAGATTATTATGGCCTGGAGAGAATGAGGCACCTGGGTGTAACCAGAGGGTCTAGCCGGCTCACTACACTCAGTTGAAAAGCAAGACGGATATATAACCAGACTGGGACTGGTACCATCAGTATTGGAACTCTGCGCTGGCTGCTGAAGATGAGGATAGAGCATGCGTAGGAATGCCCCGAGTGCTGTGATATCAATTCTTGACTAAACTCAACTCAGGTCTAGTCAGACAAACCATCAATTATTATTAACACACAAAAGAAATGAGTGAGTTATAGTCACTTAATAGACAAGTGCCTAAGTATAATAATATATATTTATTTTTAATTTACACTTAAACATTGTTGATTATAGAATTCAGTTCTAGAAAAATCATGCCTTAACAAGAAATAAGCAATAGTAGCTAAGTGAAAATTCTGGAGGGCAAGAGAGAAAGTGGACATCTTAGAAGAAAAAACTGTCACACAAGTAGTGAAAGACGCTAGGACTCAGACTTTGTGCTGAGTCGAAGAGAGGTACTGATAATATGGAACAACAGTCAGTAGACCACAATGCAGATTAAGAAGGGAGTGGAGAGATAATGAGGCAGACCTGGTAACACTTAATGTCACCAACTGGAAAGGGAAGGTCAGTTTCCTATATAATTGGAAGCAGATGATATATGAGGCAGTAAACCTCAGCTGCTCACAGTGCTGAAGAAACATTTTTTTTTTAAATTTTTGTTCTCTCAAATGAAATGTATTAAAACACACACACACACACACACACACACACACACACACACATATATATATATATATATATATATATATATATATATATATATATATATATATATATATATATATATATATATATATATATATATATATATATATATATATATATATAGAACCGTAACAGTCAATATTATATCTCTGTTTTGCAGCTGTGTGCCCCGGCAAACACACCAGCAACTCCACCCAATTTCCCCGATGCTTTGGCAGCTCTGGCTAAACTCACCACAGGAGATGGTAGCAGACATTTTAGTGCATCACCACTCCAGCATTCTCACCCATTCTCACCCCCATCACAGCAGACACCACAAAACATAGCACAGTCTCCCAAAAGCATGCACATGCAGATTGAGGCTAACAGCAGATAAAGCAATCACCCAAGAAAAGGGCTCCTACCAAAAAAAAAAAAAAATATGGCAGCTTGTTAACAAAAAATATTAAAATAAAATGCTGATTTTGTGTGTCCTGACCTGCCAGTGTTTGGCACATGGAGGATATTTTTTCACATTTGTCAATGCACAAATTCTTTGTTTTTTTATTTTCCTCTTTAATAATAAAAAAAATAAATACTGGTTTTATCCAAGTTTTTATGAAATGACATTGATCTCTGGGGATGTTCTCTGTCCTAGCAAACTATACTGTATGCTTTGATCACACTGTAAATAATTTAGATTAATATTTTATCACAAACACACACAATGTAAAAAAAACATTTTTTATGTAGTCTTCATCATTACTGTGTTTGTGAGGTCTGACACAATGCAAGAATTACTATAAAGGATATGTAATATCAACGATATCTCATTGGAATTTTCTCCATTTATGTTCAAATAATTGTGTGAATGGTTAATGCAACTATTTTATGCTTGATGTTTGTGGGGGGGGGGGGGGGGGAAGCATGCAATGTTTGTATTTTTTAAGTTTAACTTTAGATAAATAAAGCTCTTTTAGAGTAGTGGCTGAAAGCTTACCTACTTAACCAGAGGTCTTGAGTTGAAATTTGCATTGAGGTATTTTTTTTTAAAATTTGATCTGGATCCGCCTAACCTATAATGGCTTCTTTTACTTTCTTCTGCTTATAATCTATGCCATGTGATGTTAGTAGTCGTGTCATCCACAACCTTCTATTTCATGTACTTTCAGTAATTTTTTTACACAGATGATCTTCTGTGATAAAAAGCAGAGAAGACGAGAGAAAAGATACTGTACAATCTGACTTCCAAAAATATACATAAGAAATATACATGGAAATCTAAAAACATTTCATGCAAGTCTAAGATTTGATTGCTCAGAGCACTAGCTATTAGTACGTTTTCATATGGCAGTGAAAAGTGGACCTTAACAGCTGAACTTGAAAGAAAGATACAAACATTAGAAATGTGATGTTTCAGAAAAATTATTGTCATATCATACAGAGACCACATTACAAACAAGGAAGAGTGCTATAAAATATACGGCACATTGGCAACTATGAACCTCTTTTAACTACAGTAGAAAGGCCAAAAATGCAATGATATAAACATGTACTAAGATCTAACGGCCTCTCAAAAACAATACTGCAGGGCTCAGTAGAGGGAAGAAGGAGAAGTGGCAGACAAAGAAAGACCTGGTTACATAACCTGACTGACTGGACAGGCCTTAGGCATGCAACCATGAAGTTCATCGCAACTGACCACCAAAGATGGAGAGAGCTGATCAGACAGTCAACAGAAACTGGTGACCCAACAATACGTAGTGTTTACGGATGATGATGATGATGGATGATACTTGGGGTATCTTTTCTTTATATGCTAGTTATTTCTGTAACATGATTCTTGGATTGTCTTTTGTTTACGCCAGATGTTGCTAGCTTCAGTTTCTGTGATAATTTTGAAGCATTTCTTCTACTTTGCGTTTTGTTTCATATGCTGAGATCATATTGTCAGTGGGCTGCTTCCATGCATTCGAATGCAAGTTGCAGGTCCTTTATGGTTCCCCATAGCTTGCTCTGCACACTTTGCTTTTGAGGCCAGGTTTCTCTTTGAAGCATTTAAAAATAGATTATTGAAAGTAGTTGTAGTGACAAACTAATTATACTTTCATTTGTGTTTATGTAGATTGTATCGCTGCTTGAATAACTGGAATTTTTATCTGTTAGTCGGCTGGAAGATGGGTGATTTTTATTTATGAAGCATTATAAAATATACTGTATTTTTTATGTTAGTCCATAAACAGATAAACCATTCTCTCTCTCTCTCTCTCTCTCTCTCTCTCTCTCTCTCTCTCTCTCTCTCTCTCTCCCTCCCTCCCTCCCTTCCCCACCACCCCCCTTTCTGACACACACACTTCTAGTCTCAAACAAAATGTAGAGCTGTGTGCAAAAACTAAATCCCTAAATCTGCTGCTTTTCTACTTCATCAATTGTTCATACATCATTCTGTGGCTAGATAACGAGAGAAATCAAGCATGACAGTTGTGCGTTTCTCCAAATTCCATCTAACACTTTCATATTCTCTAGCGATGATTGGAAATAGGCTTACAACCAATTTTTACAGTGTGAGTGTATTTCTGCCTTGTTTTTGTTTTCTAATGTCTTTGCTAAAGATTTGTCTGATGTACATTAAACAGAATAATGCAGCGCTTGCTTGTTATGTGTTTAGTATGTTGTTTAAAGTTGTTCCAGCTATCTTATTCAATTGTGTCTCCGTTTTTCTATAAAGTTCACTTTATATTAAAAACTGTTCATCTTTTCATTTGTGATGTTACTTAGTTGCTTACTTGTTAAACCCTGCATGCAAGTTTGTATATGTAAAAGATAAAAGTAGCTCCACAGCAGATACGGCCAGTGTTAAGTCTTGAGCTCCACATATATTAGGCCAGTGGGTGCTTTATTAATATCCTACCCCAAACAGGGGAAATCCACAGGTCAAGGGACAATCTAATATTTCAAAGGTTGGTAAATAGGCAGCATGCAGTCGTAGGACCTAGGCTCTCCGGCCCCATGTGCTTTCAATGCCAATGCACCTTCAATGTCTTGTATCCATCTTCACGGTGGTCGACCCCTGCCTCGCCTTCCACAAACTGCACCTTCCATCACCGTCTTTTCCAAGCCACCATGACGCTTGATGTGGCCAAAATACTTCAAATTCCAGGACAGGATGCTGTTCATAAGCCAGTTCTCCTTGATGTTCAACTTGTTCAGAATTTTTCCTCTTCCTGATCCATGGTATACTAAGAATTTTTCTGTAACATTTCAATTCAAAAGCTCCAATCTTTTTCCCTCAGTGACTGAGTGAGAGTCTAAGACTCACAACCGTAAATTACCACATGAAAATGCAAAATCTCAAGATTTTTACTATAACCAATTTACTAGTGCTTTGCCATAGGTTCTTTATGCTATTTAATATCTGTATTACTAAGGCAAGTCTTCTTCTGACTTCTTTTGAGCAAACGCCACTGTTGTTCACTAAAGAGCCCAAGTATTCTAAAACTGTAACATTTTCTATTTGTTCATTTTCAGTTGTAACACATGGTTGGTGTGCTGTATTTACTGAGGACATCATTTTTTGTGTGTGTGTTTAAAAAAAAAAAAAAGATTCACTTCTTTGCTGTGTTTTTTGACGGCAAAAATTACTTTTTTTTAAACCCCAGGCGTCATCTGGGGTAGGATATTAATAAAGTACCGGCCAGTGTTCTTCAACCCATGGGCTGCCAAAAAAATGTATGCCTAATCATGTAACATGGTAGGATAGGTTTTAGGTTTTTTTTTTTTTTTTTCGGGGTTACAATCTGTAGGGTTAAAATCTCAATGATGAGAATAAAACAGGTGGAAGCGACATTCAACACAAGTAAGCATTTAAAGATGTTTGCTGAAAATTTTAAAAATTATGCCCTTAAAATAAGGGTCCTTTTAAAGGTGACCATTAGATTAATTATAATCCCTTTTAAGCAGGGGGCTGCGTGGTCTCGAGGCATGGTGTAGCGGTTCCGGGTTCAATCCCCGGTGAAGGCTGGGATTTTTCAACATGGGCTTGGACTTCTAGTAATTTCCCCTGTTAGTAAGTTAAGTCAAGAACTGACATCACAGCACTCACGGCCTTCCCATGGGTGCTCCGTCCTCATCTTCAGCAACCAGCGCTGGTCTCTGGGTAGTGAGATCGGACGCTCGTATGCATTGTTGTGCACATAAACAATCCCTTAGAAATTGGAAATCGAAAAGAGTAGACTAACGACACTGCCCAGGCAAAATTTGGAGTTAAAAATCTATCCAAAGTATTTAAAGATCATCACCAGTGCTACAGAGCCTGTGCACTGGGCTGAGCTTCTTCGGACTCCGACTTGAGTTAGAAGAAGAACAGAGCATGTGTGTCATTATGTTAATCCATTGTTCAAACCTCAAATCTTTTGAAAGGTACAAAATCATTTGCGCTTGATTATTAGGAAATAGAAAAGCTGACTGGGTTGTCTTCTGGTGTCAGTCTTGTGTCCAGACATAAAATGCAATAGTTGTCTAAGTTTTTGATTATCATTCTAGAAAATAATACCCACTACTGTGTTATAGCTTTCATATTCTGGTTGCTTTTTTTTTTACTTTCTTTTTTTTTTGTGTAAAATGACTCCGCAGTGTCAGTAATAGAAACAAAAACAGAGTGAGTGTTACTGCAGCCTTTTATCTATCAGAATTAACGCCCCAGCCACGTATAACAGATTTCCTGGTGCTTTTTTTTTTTTCTGCAGAGTATTGAGCCAGAACCACTGTTTTGACAAACAAGCGCTCTAAGCACTGTGTCACTGTCTCTCCCCCCTACTCACCCATGTCTAATTTATGCATAATGCACTGTGGGAAGCCTTCAGAAATTAACACATCAATGAATTGATGCAAAAATTTATAAACCTAAACAAACAAAAAAATACTATAGCATACAAAACAATAAACTCTTTTGTTTCTCTGATGTTGCTAATGCATGAAAAGCTGCCAAACTGGCATTGCTGCATTGGCCAGTCCCCACAAAAAGCCTAGTTAATGGCACTGGTTCTCTTTGTGCCTGCACAGTGTTTAGGAGGCCCAGGTATGGTATTTACTTGAAAAGCATTGTGAAAAAAGGTCTATTTTATCATAATTCCCTTGTAGCCCTAGTTATGAGTTTAAGCCTTCAATAATTGATGTCATGAGGTCACCATAATAATTATTTTTAAGGCCCAAGGGACTGCAAAAAAAAAAAAAAGTTAAATATATAAATATATTTTTAGTGGACCTGTGTTGATTAAAGAACATTTCTTCGAGAATTCCCTGTTTAGCAGATTTCTTCTCCCAAGACTTTCCTGGAGCAACAGGATTAACTATATGTGCATCAAAAATGTTAATGCTCAATGTGGATACACAGACAGC